TAGTGATATGAAGGAAAATATGTGGTTGAAAAAGAAGAAAAAATTATTGATGTGATGGAAAATATTATTTTATTGAAAAATGTGTGGTTGAAAATGAGAATTGATTTACTGTAGAAAAATTTAATCCCTTCCAAACATGGCCTAATTAATTCAAACAACAAATTCTTGTCTGATAACAGCTCTACTTTCGGTTGTCATAATTACAAAATAAAAATGTGAAATTAATGGCATAATTAATTCGAATTAAGAATCTGAACATTGCTACACTTACACACCTTGATACACAACCTTCTCACATGTGTGTGGGGTCCACCCACATTGTGGACCACACACACATGTGAAAGGATTGTGTAACAAGTGTGTACAAGTAGCATTTTTCTTAAGAATCTAAGCAAAAACAAACTGCATAATTTACAAACAACTTGGAGAGAATAAAATTCTTAATGTCTGTACTAATTCTTAATTTCCCTAATTACCCTTTGTTTCACAAGGAATTCCAGTGAAAGAAACTCTACCAAAACCCAAATGAAAAAATTCTTCAGCCTCAAACCCCGCGCTGAAATTGTCCGGTAGCTCTTCCTCCGGTGATACAATTTCCAATACTGTTCCTCCATTTATCCGTCCCTTTCCAGAAATTCCAAATGTGTCCCCACAACAGTCGCTATAACTCCTTTCACTCTTCTCCTTTAACCGCCGGTTTTTTTTGGCCATGATAAAGCACTTCCGGCCCACCATCCACGGCACCTTGATAAACGCCAGTGCAAGAAGGTTCACGACGGCGCAAGGGCAGCAACAGACGGCGACACAGTCGGCGATCACTCCAGCGGTACAAGATTGACAGGACTTCCCTGTACACGTAGTCTTATCTACACCATCGTCATCCACCACCACGTCGCGGCGGCGCATGGCCCCATTTCTTGATGATCCCGGAGATGGGTTTTCCTCCATTTGATCTCACTTTCTTGAAAAAACCTGCACAACATTTGTATACAGGGTCGAAACATGTAACAAGATTCGGTGTTTCTCCATGCAATTCCAAAGAGGTATAGAATTACATGTGTTTAAGTGAATTTCACTTTAAGAGAGTTTCTGATAATGTGATGTTTCTTTGAGCAGAGGAAAATAGCAGATTATAGCAAAGTAGGACAGAAAAAAGACTCACCTGAGAATACTCAGACTCAGTTTCAGACTGAGAAAAATCGGCAGTTGCTTTAGTGCTTGCTTTGGTATCTCAAACTATTTATTTATTTTAATATAGAAAGTCGCGTGGTGAAATATTTTCCAGTTATTTACTTGTAATGATTTTGGGTAACTTAGTACACTAGGCAGCAAAACAAGATATCTTATAACACAACTTGTAGATCGGTATGAGGTTGACTAGATGAATCATCTTTTTCTACTCGCCTTGTCTTTACATTTAGGTTTCGATGAAACACGTTGTTAGAACCCTAATTTCTCCTTTTTTGGAGCTTATAGGAAGACAAACTTTTAGAATAGCCATGTTATTTTCTTACTTTAAGTTGATCGTGTCACTTTTATAAACACTAATCTCATTAAATGTAGCAAACATATAATAATATTAATACGTAATAGTATATATCTTTAAACATCGAGAAAATATGGACAAGAATTTCCAACATTTTAAGTAGTTTGATGCTGAGTTCTCAAGCTATTTTAATATGTGAATTTGGGTCTCCACATGAACGAATCGATTCAACGTTTAAATTAGACGTATCTTTCAGTTGAATTGTAAGAAATATTGAGTTTTGTCTTCTAACTTTAAGTTAGGTAAAAGTTGTATGTAATTTTAACGTTCACATTGACGATAACGGACCCAAATTTACATATTAAAGTATATCGAGAATACATAATCCTAAAGAAAAATCCCATAAACGTCAAAGTCAAAAACGTTTTGTGTGTATCAAAGGAAGAGCAAGACAATGAAAGGAAGAGATGATAGGAAATTTGACTAGACTGGACTATAATGATATAGTTGGTTTTTAAATAAGAAAGGTGGGGTTGAAGGGAATGTGAGAGACTTGACCAGACCAGAGAAAGAGACACAACACAAAGAAACCAAATTCGTGAAAATAATTCTCTCATTGGATTGTCTTGAATTGTATTTTTCTTCACGTCTTGCACAAAACAAGCATTTTATACTGTTTTTACAGCTTTAGTAGCTTCTAGACGTCAAATATTTACTATGTATATTCATACATATCTGTAGATGGTACATGAATACATAATTTTCCATTTTTATAGCTTGAGTATGAAGTGACAAAGATAATGATCAAAAGCGTGCATGCTGATATTTCAGCAATGACCCCACGATCGATTTCCTCGACTAGAATGCAGGAAGTACAAAAGGAACAAAAACTTGGGCTCTCGTCCAACCATCACTTCACTCGAGCTAGCTTAAGCAACATTGACGAGCCTTCAAAAAGACCGTTGATTAAGGTTTACACTTAAAATTTATGATCGAGTACCCAAGATTTGTCCTTTTAATTATTTTTCTATTTTGTTATTAATTACTGAAATAAAATAAATTCCAATGAGGGCATGTAGATTCCACATGGTGACTTGTGATTTCATGTTCCATGCTGGGCTGGCCAGTCCTCGAGACTCGATTTTTCATTTTCTTTTGCAATTTTTTTATCAGATGACTAGGTTCTGGCAAAAGGACTAGTATTAAATATTAAAAACATATAATCAACTTTTAAAAAAAAATTTATTTTTAATAATCACGAGATTTATGACTTTAATTCATGTTCGACAATGCCAATGTTAATTAAATTATGTTATGAAATTTCAGTAACCACGAGACTGGTCTAAAAAGTCAAATTAAAAGCTGCTTTTTCTTCGGCGGACTTCTAATTCAAAATAGGGATAATTGCAGCAAAAATCCCAAACATTTGAAATATTAGTAGACTTTTTCCAAACTTTTAATTTGTTGCAGTCATCATCCATAACCTTTCCAACCATTGCATGTGAGCACTTTTAAATGATTTTCATCCATTTTTCCGTTAGTTGGCCCAAAAAATTAATTTTGACTACATTTTAATCAATTTTAAAAAGGGCAAAACAATAATTAAATTTTTTTTTTCCATAAAATAAATAAAAACTTAGATCAAAACCAAAAAAATAAAAAAAAATAAAATGAAAAACTACCTTCTTCATCAACAAACCCCACCCCCACCAAAATCCATTGCCACCGTCCGCCACCGCCACCTCCACTCGATTACAATAAGATACGTCCTTATCCCCCTTCATTTCTATCCTCAAAATTGAAATCGATGCACAACAATCCAATAGCAACCATCACCTCCACCACCATTGAGGCCCTTCCAAAAAAATGACCTTTTATTTTCCCTTGACTCTCCGCCATAACTCTCCACCTGCTCAATCTCAGAAAAATGCCCGGTCCACCTATTCTAATCCCATTCAGCAGATGATGAAGAACAAGTAGAAGAATAAGAACTGTAATCGCTCCTAGTGTTGGTGTTGTTACTATTGTTATCGTGATTACTGGTGCAGCGACAAGAAAATATTGATTTCTTGCTTTTTTTTAAAAACCAACTTCCTCAGGAAATTGATGGGACAATTTATCTTTGTAAAAGGGGAGATTTCTGGTGAAGAAGAGGATGAAGGACGCAATTGAGGAAGTGGGTTTACGGTGGCGCCAGCCACTGCCATTTCCTAGTCTGGAATTGAGAACGGTGGAATGAAAATCTTTGTTAATGATGTGATTATTTGCTGTAGGGTGGGGTGGAGGTTGGGTAAAGAAGGTCCTTTCTTTTCTTTTTCTTTTTAAAATTTTTTATTCAATTATTTTAATAAATATTTACGATTTTGTCCTATTTTAATTGATTAAAAATATGATCAAACTTAATTTTTGGATCAACTGATGGAAAAATTGATGGAAACCATCCAAAATGGTCTCACATGCAATGATTGAAAATGTTAGGGGTGACGGCTGCAACAAATCAAAGGTTTGGGAAAAGTCTGCTAATGTTTCAAATGTTTGGAATTTTTGCTGCAATTATC